TTATATGAAACTGCGTGGTTATCATGATATATTTGAGATAACTTCTGCTCTTCTAACTCATGATTAGCTGGCTGGGTTACTTATTTGCTCACTAAGAATGTGAATCTTAGTGTCAAAGTATGAGCTGTAATGGTTGTGTTTAATGTTGATTGTGTTTTTAGTGGAGCGGTTATGGTGATGATTGCTTTGCAGTGTTGTTAATAGATTATTTATTTTGTTTTCAAATTTATATTTCAGTTTAAGGAGCTTGCCCAAGCCTATGAGGTTTTGAGTGACCCAGAGAAGCGTGAGATTTATGATCAGTACGGTGAAGATGCTCTTAAGGAAGGAATGGGTGGTGGAGGTGGGGCACATGACCCATTTGACATATTCCAGTCGTTCTTTGGTGGTGGTGGATTTGGCGGTATGTTTCCAACCATGTTTTGTAGTTGAAGTACTGATTCCCTTTATGCATCTCCAATTAATTTCTCATGGATACAGATTATTTGATGTCCAGGTGGTGGAAGCAGCAGAGGAAGAAGGCAAAGGAAAGGGGAGGATGTTGTCCACCCTCTCAAGGTCTCTTTGGAGGATCTCTACAGTGGGACATCAAAGAAGCTATCACTATCTCGCAATGTGTTGTGCTCAAAATGCAAGGGGTGAGTATGCAATCTGATTATTTATATTTTGCATAATCTAATGAAGATCTGCTGACAGTGGTTATATATTTGTATTTCCAGAGTAGGGTCTAAATCAGGTGCTTCAATGAAATGTTCGGGCTGTCAAGGGTCTGGAATGAAAGTTTCTATCAGACAACTTGGCCCCATGATCCAGCAGATGCAGCACCCTTGTAACGAGTGTAAGGGTACTGGTGAGAAAATCAATGAGAAAGATAGGTGCCCACAGTGTAAGGGTGAGAAAGTTGTGCAGGAGAAGAAGGTGTTGGAAGTTCATGTGGAGAAGGGTATGCAGAATGGACAAAAGATTACATTCCCAGGAGAGGCTGATGAAGCGGTAAGATATGCAACAAAGTATTTGAAATGTTTTGTTTCTTAATGACCAAAACTGTATTGATTCTTAACATTGTTTGTGTTTTTTTCGCAGCCCGAAACTATCACTGGGGACATAGTTTTTATATTACAACAGAAGGAACACCCTAAGTTTAAGCGCAAGGGAGATGATCTCTTTGTAGAGCACACCTTGACCTTGACTGAGGCTCTATGTGGTTTCCAGTTCGTCTTGACTCACCTAGACAGCAGACAGCTGCTCATTAAATCCCAACCTGGAGAAGTTGTCAAGCCTGGTAAGCTGAAGAAACTTGATGGCCTTTTGATTCTGATATTTGTGTTTAATTATCATTTGCAATGTATTGGAGTCTGCCTGTATAGGCTGCTTCTGTCAATTATGCCTCCTGGCAACTGCTGTCTAGTACTAACCTAATATATTTGATGTGATTACTATTAATTAATTAATTAATTTCCTGGAATTTGTATGCTTTTCTTTGAGCCCTCAAACTGGTAACTAGACAATTATAAAGCACTTCATTGTAGTTCTTGGTCTATCCTTTTCTTTCAGTTCTTTTTTATGCATTTATGAATTTATATGTATATGTCTACATTTTCAGCACTTAGTGCTTAAATAAAAAAAATTCTTAACCAAAGGTCTCGAGTTCGAGTCCTAGGAATGAAGTTGCATTTGGTAGGGAGTACTTTAAACCCCAAAGTGGGACTTCTAACGGGAATCCGGATTAGTTGGGCCCTAAAGCAGGTACCGGACACTGCTTGAGAAGTTTAGATTAAGTATCCAATTCCACACTCTCTCTCTATCTATACTTGATGCATAGAAAAGCATGTGTCTACATGATTGTCATTTGCTCATGGTTGCGATGGCCAATGTTTTACTTGCAAGTTGTCTGAAAAATATCCTCATGTTTACTGATCATGTAATTTCTTTTTGGCACCTAGATCAATTTAAGGGCATAAATGATGAAGGAATGCCAATGTACCAAAGGCCATTCATGAGGGGAAAACTGTACATTCACTTCACCGTGGACTTCCCCGATACATTAGCTCCAGAGCTGTGCAAGAACCTTGAAGCAGTACTGCCGCCAAGGCCTAAAACACAAGCATCCGATATGGAATTGGACGAGTGCGAGGAGACCACTTTGCATGACGTGAACATGGAAGAAGAGATGCGTAGGAAGAGGCAGCAGCAGGCCCAAGAGGCATACGAGGAAGATGATGACGACGACGATATGCATGGTGGTGCGCAAAGAGTACAATGTGCACAACAGTAATTCACGCGTCTTTTGGCAGATAACAGGAGTTATTCCGGCAAGGGGAAGTATCAAGCCCTGGGCTTGGGTTTGATTATAGGGTTGATAAGAAATGACAGCCAGGAATGTGCTTTTTGTAGGAGATAGATAATAGATTACTATGAATTTGGATTTTATTTATGCAAACTGAATTGTTATTGACAATTGTAAGAGTGCTGAAAGATTTTTGCGACTATGTTTTGAACCACAGCTTTATTCAATTCTTTGATTTCCAGACTGATATAGAATGTCATATCTTCATTGTTTCTTCAATGTATAGCTGCCTCATCAATACTCCTGGACTATGTTGTATTTCCATAAAAGGCGTTTCAATTTGCTTTTCTCTTTCCCATTAGGGGCAAACACATCTCAAGATGATAAATGCCACAGGAGAGAGAGAGAGAATGAAGTCAAGAAGATTTGCCTTTTGGTTTGGCTTGTCTTTACTATAAGAGAGATGATAGTGATGGAGATCTCGGATAAAGGATATTGACTCAACAGTGATTTGTCGGTCCATTTAGTGGCTCCTACTTCCAAAAATAAGATCCTCTGGTGCTAGGGTCCGGTCGAGCCTCTTTCAAACTACATCCCTGCCTCTCATCTAACTTGTTTGGCAGTTGAAGTAGCTTGATTCAAGAAGTAAGACTATATTCTTAGGGGTATGTTACGAGCGAGCGGAAGTTCTCTTGCTAGTGGAAGTAAGAGTAGCAAGGTTAGGATCATAAATATAATAGGGGTTTCGAAACGTGTCATACCATAGTTTGTCTAGATGGAGTCGAGCTAAAGCAAGAAAAGAGTGTTAGCTTTCCGATGAGTGAGCTCAGACGTACACTAGATTAGAGCGCGTATTTTAGCTGGCCCAATGGTGCAGAAACCTACTAGGATGAGGCATAGCGAAAATTAGACCTACTAAACGAAAAGGATAGGAACCTTAAAGTAGTTAGATCTCTAATACTCGGCTTATTCCTAGATATTTTGGAAGTCACCTTTCTTCTAAGGAAAGCATATAATAATTCCAGTCGATTTTATTGACTTCAGGGACGAATATATGGATAGTTGAAAGCATATATATATATATATATATATATATATATACACATATTTCTATTTGTTATGTGGAGTATATAATATACAAATTTTATATACTTTAACAACTACGAGATTTAAATAGTTTCGGTAGCGGGATGAAAATGATCTTTGCCCTATTTTCTACGCCTACGAACTAATGTGAATGTAACGACATGAGTAGATCAAAGAAGCTTTTAGTATAGCAACAAAGAAAGTCCAAAAATTATTTTATACAAATTCAAAACTCAGGTGTTAAATTCTTGTATTTTTAAAATTCTCTTACTAAAACTTTTTGGCTTCGGCATTCCTAATCTCACAAGTACAGGTACCTGCATTTTTTAAATAAGTTGTGACTATCTTTGATTTTCATCCTTTAGCATGTTAATGACTTCATTTGAGTCAATATATATTTATTTCAAGTGGTAGGAGTTGATATTCCGAGCTATTAATTTCCAAAAAAATCAAACCCTAAACCAATTTTGTCAACCTCAAATTTGAAATAAAATTCTTTTTTCCAAGTCAAATATCACCTAAATTTCACATTCGCAAGGTTCTTCCTTTACCTTGGTGTTATTTGGGGTACGTTTACTCATATAAATTTGTCGACTCCACCAGTCAGTTATTAAAGTCAAATTTTGATAAAGAATGAGTTTAATTCTAGATTCAGACAATGACACAAATCAGTTGACATTTAATAATAGGTTGTAAGAGTCTAACTAGCCAAGTTGAAACCTTTGGAGGATACATTGGGTAATGAACTCAACTTGCCCCCGCCCCCCCAAACCCACCCACTCCCCACAAATATATTAAAAGTTTAAGTTCATTATTATATACCATGATGTTGTAACTTAACCTATATATTATATCTTATTACTTACTAGTATGTATTATTTTTATCATGTTACTAATTAGTATTTATCGTAGAAATTTACTTTTAATAACTTATAAATGATATGATTGTGTAGATATGAAACTAGTGATATGTTTGGTAAAGCGGAGGCCATTTTCCAGGAAATGATTTATTAAAGATTACTAATATTAACAAATCAGATAACATTTGATGAAACTTTTAGGTATTTAAATATTTATAATCAGGTCTAAATATTGGTTAAAACGTACGGTGATATCAAGTTACGATTTAGAGATAATTGTCAAGAAAAATGACGTCCGTCAAAAAAGTCAGAGGAGCCATTTCCTCTTTCTTAGAAAATGTAAAAAATACTTTCCTTTCATACCAAACTCTCCTAATAACACCTTTTCTGGATTGTCCCTTAGGTGACATTTGATTAAAAAAAAGACCTTTTTCCAGGTCAACCCCTTTTTTATTTTTTTTTTTATTTCTCATTCGGTGTCCGGTATTCGTATTTGGGCCCGACTAAATCCGGATTCGCTTGGGAAAGTCCCACTTTAGGGGTAAAGCGCTATTTAACAAAGGAGACTCCATACTCAAAGTTCGAATCCGAGACCTCTGGTTAAGAATAAATGAGTAACCAGTAACCACTACTCCACCACAATCCTTGTTGGTACCATTTTTTAAGTTGCTTGAGTCCTTCGTGACATCATGTCAGCTCTCATTACTATATATATAAAGCTAACTCAAATAAATATTTATATCTCCCTTTTCTTTCCATCTCTCAAATTCTTTCTTCCTTAGCCTCAAAAATCCAATTTAAAACCTCCATTTTTTCTTCAACATGAACAGCACAATTGTGGAAGATAGTAGTGAAGGTTCAGATCCTGAGTTAAGTGAAGAAACCTTTGGTAAGAATTATGGCTATGGCATTGGATTTTCACTTGGAATCCTAGTATTACTTGTAATCATAGCATATGCTTCATATTTATGCATTCGAACGCGATCGCGCAACAATTCTAACGTGCCTAATTTTAATCCATCTTCCTCTAATGGCAGTTCTATGACTACAGTTACAGTTGATAATGATCAATTGGTTTTTATTCAACAAGGTTTAAATGAAGATATTTTGAGAAATTATCCAAAGTTATTGTATTCTGAGGCTAAAGTTCACAAAGGGGAGTTTGATGTCTCTGGATGTTCAATTTGTTTGGCAGATTATAAAGATAGTGATTTACTTAGGATATTGCCTGATTGTGGCCATATTTTTCATGTCAAATGTATTGACCCTTGGCTAAGGCTTCACACAACTTGCCCTATTTGTAGAAATTCTCCACTTCCAACTCCATTGACTACTCCTTTGGTGTGATTCCATCTGCAATTTAGGTAATTTAAGTTGAGTCCATTTCCTTTCTTTTTCCTTTTGATTTTTTGGGGGTGGTGGGGAGAGGGTTAGTGGTTAATGTTTTGAGTCTTTTTTTTTTTTTCTTGTATGTAAAAAATCCAGATGACCATACACTTCAAGTTATTTAAATGTAAAAAGTCAGTCCGGTGCACTAATCTCGTGCTATGTGCGAGGTCTAGGGAAGGGTCGGAACCACACTGGTCTATTATACGCAATCTCATCCTGTATTTCTTCAAGAAACTTTTCCACAGATTGAACTCGTGACTTCCTGGTCATATAGCTCCCCTTGAGATTATTTAAATGTAGTGATGAAGTAAATACTACCCAAGGGAATTTTTGTTAAAGGGCCACGTCCTTCCTTCTTCTCCGCATGCCTTATAGCCGCCAAGCTTCTAAAATTAGCTTATTTTGAGAAGTGCTTTTCTCAAAAGTACGTTTAAAAAAATACTTTTTGTGAGAAGTAATTTGTGTTTGGCTAATTAATTTGAAAAATACTTTTGAGCAGTAATTAGTGTTTGACCAAACTTTTGAAAACTGCTTCTAAGTGTATTTTTCTCAAAAGTGCTTTTGGAAAGAAGCTATTTTTTTCTGCTTCTCAGAAAATGCTTTTGCTTCTCCTCAAAAGTACTTTTTTTCCTTTTAAAAATTTGGCAAAACACCTCAATTTTTAGCTAAAAGTGCTTTTGGCTTAAAAAAAAAAGAGGTACTTTTGACCCAAAAATAAACTTGGCCAAACAAGCTATTAGTGTTTTATATTGTTGCTAATCGTGTAAATGCTAGTTTAGGAAACTTAAGTTGTTTCTTCTTGGTAGATGCGAATCGTCTGCAACAACACAACTCATATTAAATCTTCACGTAACGAATTGAATAGCCTAGTCTCATAGACGCACAGAATGGTCCCTAACTCTACCTGTGTTCCCCATATTTTTAGTATAGTCTTCCAACGCCGATAATGATATTTATTTGGGAAAATTGTCAATTATGTTTACGTACTTTCGAAAAATGTTTAAATATATCATTCGTTATATTACGAGTCCAAATATATCTCTACCGTTATACACTGGGTTCAAATATATCCCTCATTTAAACGGAGGGACATGTTATCGTGCTGTTGGTCAATTCTAAATATCTCCTAATCTATACTATATTAAAAATACGAAGACCCTTAGCGAAATATTGTTCGCCTTTTTTATCCTTTAAAAATTGATTTCATACTAGACAAAATAGTCATTTAGTTATATACCCTAATATTTAAGAGTTTGAAATTAATTAAAACTTTACATATTAAAATATTTTCTTATTTAAAGAACCCTAATATTTAAAAATTTAAATTAACTAAGAACTTTTATATCATTAAGATTCTGATCCTAAATAAGGGGTATCCACGATAGTCTAGAATTCTTTTACTTTACATTGTAAGGTGCAAAAGTTTGACAAAATAAAGGACTTGGTATAGCTAGAAATTTGGGGTAGCAACTGATACAGAGAAACCAAAAAACTTGTAGCCATGAAATATCTTCGGCGTGTAGATGTAAGTATGTATTTTTATTCTTTCTTCCTAATTTTTCAGTACTTTATCTTTTTTTGTTACATCTTCTATTCTTTTTCCGGTAATAGATTGCTAAAAATATGTTAAAAGAACTTATGGATCATCAATAACTCCTATATTACGAGAGAACTTATCAAAGAATTATATTATATTTAAAACAAAAAACCTCTTAGTAAAATATTATTTATTTTTTTACCCTTTAAAAATTAATTTTACACTAGACATGATTATAATTTAATTAATTTTTTAATATTGAAGACAACCCACAAACACAATATTTAAAATATTGAAAATAATTTATATAGTATTTCGTATTAGTTAAAGAACAAGAACAGCTTGCATTTGCTCGCCAGAAGAAAACAAAAAGCGTCTTGTGAGTTAGTTGACCTTTTGTGTCTTCTAGAATGAACTTAAGAATACATCTGAATATATAACTCTTCAAGAAATTTTTTCGAAAAAGCTCTTAAATCTTCAAAGGTTATGTGTTCTAACTAATAGCCTGTTTGGCCAAACTTCTCAAGAGGCCAAAAGTGTTTTTTTTTCAAAAGTGCTTTTTTTTCCTAACTTGAAGTGTTTGGCCAAGCTTTTTTGGGGGGAAAAATGCTTTTGGGAAGAAGCAGAAGCAGTTTATGAGAAGTAGAAAGAAGCAATTTTGACTTTTCTTCTTACCAAGAATACCCTTAACAAAATATAGTATATACCAAAATAACCGTTAAACCTAATACTTAGGATATTAATGTATAAATATTTTTTTATTATTTTTAGGATAACTTTCTAAAATACAGTGACTTTAGGGGTGAATGCTTTTATATTTGTTGAATAATATATATATTATATTTAACTTATATTAAAAGAATTAGGTACTTTTAAATTTTATTTTCATATTTTACTTAAATAAAATAAAAAAATTTTATTATTGCCTGTAATAACAAATTTTTGAGATTATCTATTTACTTATAATATTAACTATTAAGTAAATCTATTCATGTCCTTATTCGTAATTTGATACTTAAAAGCACTTTCTGAAAAGCTTGGCCAAACATAAATTATTGCTCAAAAGTGCTTTTCAGAGTGATTAGCCAAACACAAAGTGATTCTCTCCAAAAGTATTTTTTTCAAAAGTACTTTTCAAAATAAGCTGATTTCTCCAACTTGGCCAAACAGGCTATAAAACTAAAAAGGAAGCATGATAATTTGTAATGTTTAAGCAACAAAATGATTAAACTGAGATAAATTTCAAGTTGAATATATTAACCGAGGTAACTGATTACCTTTTGTGAGGTAAAGTTTCTTTCTTTATTGAGTTAGTTAAAAGGTAAAGTTTCTTTCTTTATTGAGTTAGTTAAATAAGATCGACATTTTTCATTTTCAAGAGTTTACATTTTCTCTTTAACTTTTATTTCTTAGTCAAACACATTTTTTCATATAATATTTATGTACTTTTTCAAATAATTTGTTCTCATTCAGACAGGATTCACGCACAACGCGCGTATCCTAAAACTAGTTAATTAAAAAGACTCATTACCTATACCCGAAAAGTAATTTTCTAAAGCAATATTTTTTTAAAAACTGAAAAAAATTGAATTTTGTTTTACTAAAAACTAGAAAAAAAGAAAATATTTTTTTTCCAGTTTTTACAAAAAAACTGCTTTAAAAAAACTGAAAAATATTTTCTAAAGCAATGTTTTTGTAAAAACTGAAAAAAAAAATTAAAAAGTAATTTTCTAAAGCAATATTTTTTTAAAAACTGAAAAAAATTGAATTTTGTTTTACTAAAAACTAGAAAAAAAGAAAATATTTTTTTTCCAGTTTTTACAAAAAAACTGCTTTAAAAAAACTGAAAAATATTTTCTAAAGCAATGTTTTTGTAAAAACTGAAAAAAAAAATTAAAAAGTAATTTTCTAAAGCAATATTTTTGTAAAAATTAAAACAAACTGAATTTTTTTTTTACTAAAAACTGAAAAAATCAAAATTCTTTTTTTTTTTCCATGTTTTAGAAAAAAATTGCTTTAAAAAAAACTGAAAAATATTTTCTAAATCAATTTATTTTTTGTAAAAACTGAAAAGCAATGTTTTTGTAAAAACTGAAAAAAATAAATATTTTCGTTTATTTTAATTTTTAGTTAAAAATATTTCAGTTTTTTCTAGTTTTTACACGCTTTAGAAAATTGCTTTTCAGTTTTTTTTTTTAGTTTTTACAAAAATATTGTTTTAGAAAATATTTTTTAGTTTTTTTTAAAGCAGTTTTTTTGTAAAAATTGGAAAAAAAATATTTTTTTTCCAATTTTTACAAAAAAACTGCTTTAAAAAAAACTAAAAAAAATTTACTAAAAACTGGAAAAAAAAATATTTTTTTTTCCAGTTTTTAGTAAATTTTTTTTAGTTTTTACAAAAATATTGTTTTAGAAAATATTTTTTAGTTTTTTTTAAAGCAGTTTTTTTGTAAAAATTGGAAAAAAAATATTTTTTTTTCCAGTTTTTAGTAAATTTTTTTTAGTTTTTTTCAGTTTTTACAAAAAAAAATTGCTTTAGAAAATTATTTTTCGAGTATGGGTAATAGGTATTTTTATTTAATTAGGAGATATTTAGAATTGGCCAATAGAACGATGACACATGTCCATCCGTTTAAATGAGGGGTATATTTGAACCCAAAGTATAACGACAAGGGTATATTTGGACTCATAGTATAACGAATGATATATTTAAATATTTTTCGAAAGTACATGAGTATATTTGGTCATTTTCCCTATTTATATACATTGCGTTTAGGTTTAGGGTTGGCCTAACTAATAGGCCTAATTCGTTATCACTTCTTATGGGTGTACTAGGTCCAAAAGCTGTTTTTTCAATATATATCAAATAGGTATATATTATACTAATCTTTGAGCATCTTTTAAGGTTTTTGTACTCTTTTTAAGAACGCCAATTGCCTTTTTAAACGTTTCACTTAATTAATATTCTACTGATTGGAAAAATATGACCAAATTAAATTTGGAAAAAAGTACGGTAAGTGAATTCTTATTTTTCTAAGAAATAAACTGTTTTAGACAAATTCAACTTGTTAAAATGACTAATATGAGAGTAGAAAAAGTGATTAAATTTATTTTTTGGGGTTACCACATCCGTTAAAAACAGCCCAATAATTATTTGTATAGACTGCCAACACCACAAGAAGAAGTAAATAATAAAAGATGCCAATTCATTACAATGTATTACATTAAGACTTAATATATTTTGTTTATTATCATCTAAGAAGAATTGATATTTAAGAATTACTTAAAAAATATGTTTATGGGACTGTGTTAATACAATGATTATAGGGAAGTCAGGATTTGTTGCATGATATCGCTGCCTCTTGGAGTAACATAATCTGTCAATTATTAAATATTAAAAAAGGACTTAACACAAAACCTAACTTTTTAAAAAATAGAAGATAAATTAGTGTTTTTTTGAATGAAATAATAGGATTTAAAATATAAGAACAAAAAGGAATCCTACAATATCCTTTATTTTTTATACTCTCGGGGAGAACAAAGACGAATTAGTTGAGTAGTGGCAACTGTATTAATTATTAGTAAAAAACTAATTAATAGGGCAGATCGATCATTAATGTGATGCACAAACCCTACGTGTGCGGCTTATTACTGTACTCTCTTAAATTTGTCTTTAAGTAGAATATTAATTATATTGATTGAAGCTTAATTAGATAATATACTTATAGTAGTACTTTATTTTTGGTTGGTCGCGTGGCAGCTAAAATTGATAGGTGGATCATTG